ACCGACTTCCATTGTCTAGGATTTCACTTAAGCTTATTCACGTCACTCAAATATATTTTACAAAGAAAATAATTTATGCATATCTTACGTTCTGTTTAATATAGGTAATCCAAAGATAAAGGACTTTCATTCTTCGAAATGTTTGTAGTTTATTATTCGACTTATCTGAGATATTTTAATTTTTTGAACTTTGAAATATTTTAAGCAAACCAATATTTTCCTTGATTTTACATATCATAACAATATATATATATATATACATATATATATATATATATATATATATATATATATATATATATATTATATAAAATTAATATATATATATATATATATATATATATATATATATATATATATATTTATATATAGAGTTTGTATAACGACGCTAAGAATACAATTCTTTGGAGGGTAACTTTCGGGAAAGCGTCAAAACAAGGATCAGCTAGAGATGGTATAAGCCAGTTTGGTGTAGAACTTTATTCTAAATGTGAAATTTTCGGTGATATGTTGTCACCTTCATCAGCACCTAAATGGAAAACCTATTTTAGTACAAGTGTGTTTGTATTTTAAATAATACCCTGTTGTGTTTGTAATGTTTTTATTCAAAATTTTAAATGTATTTTTTAATATTTTTAACATGTTTGTGACAGTGTTCTTCACCTCTAGGACCAACTGAACATTTTCAATGTAGGTTTTAAATGTTAATTTCCACCACTTGTACTAAAATAGGTTTTCCATTTAGGTGCTGATGAAGGTGACAACATATCACCGAAAATTTCACATTTAGAATAAAGTTCTACACCAAACTGGCTTATACCATCTCTAGCTGATCCTTGTTTTGACGCTTTCCCGAAAGTTACCCTCCAAAGAATTATATTTATATATATATATATATATATATATATATACATATATATATATATATATATACATATATATATATATATATATATATATATATATATATATATATATATATATATATATATATATAAATAGTATCAAATCGCTAATATCTGAACATAAGTCCGAAGAGAGTACAGAAATATTAGAAAATGGTGACAATTACTAACAACTTGAGTAATTTCATAAATTTAATTCTTTACGCCATTTTTTGGAACACACAACATCTTAAGCAAATAAATTAAAAGCAAGACCCAAGATAACAAGCACTTACACAGTGATATATCTAATCTTAAATGTGGCTACAGCTCAAACATTTACATCAGTCAAACTGGTAGAAATTTTAACAAATGTATTGCAGAACACAAAAAAACTTTTAATAAGTCAATAAGTCTTTATTAAAAATATTTTTTCCTCAGCAGATTTCGTAGGAGATGAAGTTACAAAAGTCAGTGATGTATCGCAACGATGTCTTCTACATCATCATCTGCAAATGTTCAACTACAACTAAACAATAATTGTCAACCTGTTTTAACTATCGAAAAACAAAGTTCCAAAATTGTAATTATTTCCGATGTAAAACTTTCTCCGGAACAAATTCGTCAATACCCAAAGGCCATGAGAATAAGTTCTAAGAAAAGAAGAAAGAAAAAAATGTCAACCATTCTGACAGTTACACCACAAAAATAGATTATATAATGAAATAAGAGAAAAGGAGGAACAAGAGAAGCAGGCTCAGCAGAGAAAGGAAAACAATATAGAAAAGAAAAAATCCAAATCCCATATTTGCATAGTTTTTAATGAGCAGATATCAGAAAGCGAAATTGAGAATTATTGCGAAGAATCGGATGATAGTCTTATGGAAGTTGAGATTAAAGATGGTAAATATTTTGGATTAAATTTTTCGAATATCCAGAAAGTGAAGTTTCATTTCATTAAATTTGCTACAAAAAAGTACTCAAATTCTTTGCTGGTCAGATCCAAAAGGAACTAGAAGAGTCAGAATTTTTAGTAATTTTTTTAAAAATGACGCCGCAACAAGATTTTGTATTTCTAGATCAGAAGGATGAGAATCAATATATTTCTCCAAACGATATAATGAAAAAATTGCCAGCCCCTGAAAAAAAAAATTGGGACAAGATTCAGCTCCTTTTTTAGGTTTTCCGTTAATTGGCATGGGTGTAATATGAGATTATTCAATTTATTATGTTAAATAAATATTAAAAATTGCAAGTGTCCATATGTGCCCCGTAAAAAAGATTGTCTTGTGCACATGTATCTCCCTTAGGGGCACATGTGGACTAATTACATTTAATTGAAATTATATGCACGTGTCCTAAATAATTTAATAATTGCCACATTTAAATATACACAAAGACTCACAAATATGTAACTCTTACGTTGAAGAAACCGATACTTTACAATGAACCTCATTTTGCGGTAATTTTTTTTTTTGAAATTTTTCCATATGTGCCCCCCCTCCCCTCTTCCAGGTCTAGAATAATAAAACAATATAAAAAACACACATTTTTTAAATTTTTATTTTATTCCCAACAAATCTAAGCATAAAACTAAACAGTTACTATACTTTATCCATTTTATTAGTCTTTACATTCGATTTTGATTTATTTAACTGCAACTTTAACCCTTCTAAAAACTAATCTTCTCCGCCCTTTTCAGGGATGTGAAATTTCTGAGCGAAACGAGATAGGTGCGGCTTTGACTTAAATTCCAAAGGTTTTATTTAATTAATTTGAATGCAATGAGGATTAGACTCTATTGTAAATGACAAATCTCATTTTCGGATGCTACTGGTGCCCTGTGTTTCAATGTCACTTAATCCACATGATAATTTCGTATAATACATATTTTTTGTTTGAGAATTTGTCAATAGAAGTCTGATTTGATATAGTTAAGCTACGCTTTAGAATTTGATTACTCTTATTACACAAAAATATTCTTATGCTTCGTGCATTCAGCGGAGATTGCTGTATGTAAGTCTCCTTAGTGAACTGTCTTAGCTATGAGGCAATCATTAATATCTTCTGTCAAGAACGATATGCAAAGTACATATTGATGTCATTGGAGAAGGTTTTACCATTATGATTGTAATACTTATTCCTATTATTCTCCTCATTAGTATAGATACTGACTACTTCATTATATCGCCTAGTTGCTTGTCATTTGTTAATATTAACTTTTCGTTCATTTTTGGATATGGAATTTCCTAAGCTGCTCTTTGGGTCTGTTTAAGCAACTTAATTTTTTTTGTCTACTTTTAATTTTCTGGAGATCCTTAGCCACCATACACTCGCGATAGTTTACCAGATAGTTTCCTCCACATTGATGTTTTTTTAATGTTCAAACCTAAAGTATTGAAAGCGATTGAAGACAGATATAAAATGTACAAATGGTTTTTATTGAAACAACTATAAACAGGAATTGACACAAAGCGTATAAATTTAATTGAATAGTATTAATAATAAGAGATGTGTAGTAATGAATACATGACCTTTTGGTTAATTTAGTTAAAAAAGCTAACTCTAAATTGCTTCGACTGTATTTGATAATAATAAATATTGTTTAACACAAATAGTATTTAATATTGTATGGATTAATTATAAAAAGTAATTTATATTAAAGCAACACTAGGTTTTGCGGTTTCGAATACAAATGTGGCGAATATTATTAATTCATTCCACTTTTGAATAAATCGCAATAATTTAAATAAAAAAATATTGATATTATTTATTAATAAAGTTGTATCAATATTGTTTTAAATTTATATTATAGCACATCTAAAATATACAAGGCAACTGAGGATATACAGATTAACGCGAATAAAACGAGTTTTATATTTTTATATGATGATCTTTGTCTTCTGAGAACTTCTCTCTAGTTAAATGTTTAAGCCCCAAAAAGTGAAGCTTAAGTTAGTTTCTGTCATAAATTCCTTGAAAAGTATTTATAGTATAGTAGTACTTGAGTAGATACCAGTAACTATAGTCCGTTTCCATCATATTGATAGCACATTTTATATGCAAATCCCTAAACTGTTGATACGGGTGACTCAATAAAAAATAGATAATTGTCAACAAGTTTACAGAAGTATATAGGAAAACAATTTTAAATTGAGTATGACCACCAGGTATAAAGGTTGAAGCAGAATAGAATAAAATAGTTTTGAGGGTTACTAATCCCTAAATAAAGTTGCCAGTATTGGAGTGATTGAGATAAAGAGGTACTTATGAATTTGCAAGAAATGTAAAATGTTTATTTTATTGGTTATATGTAAAATAATTTGTGGCCGTAACAGGGGCCGATTTGTAAAAAAATGAATATTATTTTAATCAAATTTCATTTCAGCTTCACTGCTTTCTGCAGAATCTAAGGAATGTTAGATCCTGAAGATGTTCAATCAAGATTTAATCTTAAGATGTTAAAGTTTCCGTTGGATTAGGTAACATGGCGACATATGACTCCACGTTGAAGTTGCTAGTCCTGAGACGGTGTGTCTGCGAGGACTGCACTTTACTTGCTTCTAAGTTTTGTTGTCATACTTCTTCTTTAACATCTTCGTAACTAATTTGTGAGTTAAGATAATTATGAACAAGATAAATAACCTGATGAACGAAAGAAAATATTAAAGGGGAAACCTACAAATATAAAAGCTAAAGGGAGCCAAAGTGCAGATAAGAAAATCAGGTCAAGGAAAATATCAACAGAATAAAGAAATTTTACTGGAAAGCAAAAATAGAAAGGAATGTCGCTTAGTTACCAGTCGGCTGAAATCACACAATAACCTCTAAAGAAATACAGGGGAGGAGAAGAAATCAATGAAGAGAAGTAGTGATCCCCCAGGAAAAACGGATCAGAAGATCTCATATTAACAAACGGCTTATACTGATACCCAGGAGCGCCAGGCCCGTACAATAGTAACATTTGTTTATAGATACAGGATCCTTTTTAAAATCTCTTGAATCTGAATTAGTTCGTATTGTGTTTTAACCTAAATTAAAAAATTTAATTAACCTTTTAAAACAAACTCACTTTGATATAAAATTAAATTAAATCATATGGTCGTCAACACTCACCCAAAAACCCGTCGAAATTTCTTCCTTGACCACCAGGGTGAGACCGAGCACTTTTTGTTTTGAAGCTTTGTCCCAAGTGACCTTAGCATCATTCCATTGCATAGGATAGTGTGTCCCCCTACAGTTTTCAAGCTTTTGAAGGTTAAGTGATCTTTCAGTTTTACTCTGCAATAAAAAAATATAGTAATTATATTGAAAATAATAAAATTTACTTTGGTTTTCGTTGATTCAGTTAAATAGTACTTTAATTATTCAACATTTATTTTGTTTTTGCATGGAATATAAAGGCCAGTACTATAACACAATGCTGTTGTGTTTATTGTTTTATTAACAATATAGTTTCTATAATATTTCTATTGTGATGTCTTTGACATTGCTACATTATTGCGTTACAAAATATTACAACAGAAAATGTGTACTAGGTGTAAATGTTTAAAATTTTTTATTCATGCAAGAAAACGCTCGTCCTCATGTAGCTCGACAGGTTATTGGCTACCTAAATGATGTTGATATTCCATTATTAGAGTCGCCACCTAACAGTCCAGACATGAATCCTATAGAGCATCTATGCGACTATCTCAAAATAAAGATTCGAAGTCGTAGACCCGCTATTGCCAATCACAACCAACTCATTGAGTCCGTTATTGAAGAATGGGAGAATATTCCGCAAGCTTTTGTTGAATATTTGATGTCAAGCATGCCTCGACGCATAAATGCAGTCATAAGAAGTAGAGGAGGGCCTACACGGTATTAGTGTTGACCCAGAGGCATTTTATTGTGTTACTTTACTGATTTTGTTCTTTTTGCAATTTGGAGTTATGCTAGCTTATTTACGCATTTATGGCAGAAAAATTTTAAAGAAACAATAAGGCAAATTAAGGCTATGATAACGTCATGTTGGACTTATTTGTAGGTGTTTATTATTATTTCAATGTAACTTAGTTATATTTTGTGTTCATATTGTAAATATTTAGATTAATTAAAGTGGTGCGTTCATTTTGTTCAAGAGTTTATTATTAAACGTAATATCACAAAATTTTATAACAGTATAAACCATAACCACATATATAATAATCTTCGTATATCACATAACATTTGTAATTTTTCACGCTATGTCGTTTTTCTTTCATACAGCGAGACTTTCAGACTTTTTCGATTTTCTTATCGTCACTGCTTCTACTGATATAAGTCATAGTTATTTATAAGCAGGGGATCTAATGCCACCATTAATTTTGTTCATCGTAATGTTCTATGGCTATTATTGTTACGGCGTATGAACTCTTCTTCCCCCAAGCTACGAGCTGAACAAAAATAAAATGCTTTGTTCAGTTCATAGAAGTTTTATAATGTATTATATAATAACAATAAATATTATGTATTTTTAAATCTAGTTATTATATTCTCACGATTAATTAGCAGTATATTAAAAAAATATTTTTGTAAAAGTTTTGTATGACCTGGTAATTGTGTTTGTACTATTTTTCATAAAAAAGTCCTTTCAAACATATCTTACATAACAACATTCAACGAGACTGATCTTTAGCTCTCGAAAAATATCTATTTCGTCAAATAAAAGTCGTGTTTCCCGTTGTTTATACTGAATAGTAAAAAGACGAGGGAAACTTTGATCGCAAGTAGAAAACAAACGAAATAAACTTAGTTGCTGGGGGCTACAGCGATTCCACTTGAGCTGTTACAAGTCAACAATACTGACAAGATCTAGGACGTACGTAGGTTATGTTTATAAGGAAAAGAAAATGTTGAAATAAGTATTAAAAAATATGATACAATTATAAAGTTCCCTAAAATATTCTAAAAATGAACTAAATGCGTTAAATGAGTTTTTCTTGCATTAAATAATTCATCCTTGACCAAATTTATCAACTATTTTAAAAATTAGGGATATGATATTTTAGATATTCCCAATTGATCAAAAATATTTAGCTGTTCGTAAAACTCTTTTATTTCTCCGTCTGTGTGCATATGTAGGTATTGGTGCATTTATCAGTTGTCTGACTTAATAGTCAGATGAGGTGGAGAGTATCTATCAGCCGCCCCTTCTGATAAGCTAATTATTGTAATAGTTTCAATACTCGCCATGTAAGGATAACAATATACACAATAAAATATATCAATTACAACGCTTACACAGTACGAAAAATAAAAGATATTAAATCTAAAAACAAAAAAGTTACAAAAATTTAATTTTGTAACACTTTTGTTTGGGAAAGTATGTACGAATTCTTTTGATAGTTTTACATTTAATATTTTTCTGTTACGGTACTGTGATGTGATCTCATTCAATACTGTATTCTAAAGACCTTTTTAATAGTACATTGTTTACCGGGTAGGAAAAGCTTAACATTCCTGGACGACTGTAAAGATTGCTAAGTCGAGGCGCAAGCCGAGACTTAGCAACACAGAGTCCAGGAATGTGGCTTTTCCTACTATTTTTCCGCAAATCGTTTAAAATTCGACAGATATTGATTGATTTAAAAAAAACGCGATAATTTTATTCCCAAATAAATGGTGCTTTGAAATTCCCAATAAAATTACTTGGGTTACTATGGAAAAGTATTGAGGTTGAGTTGTCAAACTTGACGCTTATAAATTTAATTGCTAACAACTGTACGGAAATATCATTTCCTTACAGTAAGGAAATGACATTTCCTTACAGTAAGGAAGTCCTGACTTTTTCTTCAAGAAATTTTGACAGGAATGTCAAAATTTCCTGGCGATTTGAGGAAAAATATATTATTTTCTATTATTTCGTAAAATTGTTACTGGCTATCTCATTTATTATGTTTAAGTACGCAGAATTTGGATTTTTCCTTTGTATTCTGTGTCACAAAGATTGAAACAAGTGTAAGGTTTCGTATTTTTGTAGCAATTAACTTTAAATTATTAGCCCCTATACGTGAGTATAGGGGGGATACACTGATTGTAAATTCTGGTTTTCCAATATTGTTCTATTTTAGTGCTTTTCAAGATCCAACTCAGTTTTCCAAATCCTGCCCATGCTAATCTTATTCTTCTGGTACTTTCGGCAGTTTGATTTTCTTTGTTAATTTTAGGTAAAATTTTAGGTAATAATTAGATAGCTGCATTCGCTTACTATTTCTAAATTTGTGTCGTTCAACGTTATTTCTTTAATGTTCAGTATATTTGTCATTATTTTTGTTTTTTCCAAGTTCATCTTAAGACCTACAAAACTTGTAACGAATATAACAATATCATCAGTGTATCTCAAATGACTCAGTTTTCTTCCATTAACATTTATCCCTTTATCTGACCAGTTATTGTCTTTGAACACGTCTTTCAGTCCAAGCCTAAATAGCTTTCGTGAAATAACATCTCCTTGGCACACTCCTCTGTTAACTGGTATAGCATTGGTTTTCGCATCTATTTGTATTTTTATTGTAGCTTTTTTGTAAATATGATGTATAAGCATTCTGTATCGGGAGTCTATCCTGCAGTTGTTCATAGCTCTCTCTATTTCCAAAGTTCTTTGGAGTCAAATGTCTTTTTATAATCAACGAAGCCAATGTTTAGGTTCAAGTGATATTGATTGGCTTGTTATATTAGCGTTCTGACTGTAAGCAGATAATCCGCTGTAATGTAGCCCTTTCAAATTCCTGATTGCTCTACCCGTTGATATTGCTCTTATAAATGGTTTGTACATTTGGGACAGCAGGGAAAATGGCCTATAGTTCTTCAGATCTCCCCTGTCTCCCTTTCTAAAGAGAAGTATTGTCAAACTTTTATTCCAATCATCTGGGATTTTTCCTCTGTGAAGATATTCGTTGAAAAAAAATGTCAATTCTTCGAGAATAATATTACTCCCCTCCTTTAATATTTCTACAAGTATTCCACCTGAGCTTTTAGCCTTTTTGTTCTTTAATTGTGTCATAGCTTGTTTTATTTCGAAGGATTTTTAAAAATCAAAATTTTTGGGTAACTTTTAGAATTTCGATTTTTTCTCTTATTTTTTTTTTCATTTTTATCCTTTAATGAGGTTATTATAGGCTTTCCTTAGTTTGATCTTAAGCATTTTAGGCCTCGGTTCTTGTTTATTATTTTTTCTACCTTGTTTTCATTGTAGATGTTTGTTTATTAAATAGTTAGATAAATGTTTGTTCCATCACATAGTCTATCTTTTTTATTGTTCGTTATCTTTGTAACAGTTCCTGCTTTCAAGAGCTTTCCTTGCTCTTAAGACAGCTGTTAAATACTTTGGTTGATTATTTCTGATATGTCGCGTGTATTTCAGATTTTCTTTGAAAAGTTATATTCATTTTATGCCTTTACTATTCTTTTTTCTACATCGGATCTAGAGTTTATTTATTGCAAGTGCTTTTTCCATCTTTGTAATATTTTATGTTCTGTTTTAATTATATATCCTTGTTTGTCTTTGATTTGTTTATTACTTTTTAGTGTTTTACCTGTTAAATTATGTATGATGGCATATTGTGTTCTTAGGTCACGTAATTCTTTTTATTTTTTTGAGCTTGCTTTTTAACTTTTATATTGTTTCTTTATAGTTTCTTGCAAACGGTTTTACCTCTTTAGTTGCTTTTTATAACCTTCGTTCTTTGATTTTTCATGAATATGAATCATTGATAATTTTTCCTTTCCCAAAACTAATTCATGTCCTGTATTGTCATTTTCTACCTTGGTGTACCATTTTTATATCTATGTTTTAACAATTTCGGAAGTGGAATTTGAAACGCCAATAATGTTATTTTAAACTGCAATTTTAACTTACTTTTATAAAAATGGTAATTATTTTAAAATGCCACAATAAAATAACTTAGCAAGTAACTTAACGTAACAAAAATATATATTAGAAAACCTAAAAATATATTAAAATTTATAAAATAAAACTCACAATGGAGTTATTTCGGGGTAAAATTAATTTTTATGTGATTCTGCATTCCGGTAAATGTAAAGTTATCTTGTTATTTTAATAGATTTTATTTAATCTACAGCGCAAATAAGTTTTTTAATGACATTCACAAGCGACTCGTTAAGGGAGGGCACTTGCACATTTGAAAAAACCATTAATAACTACCATTTTATTATAGATGCCAATAATTCTCTTATTTGTTAAATGTTATAAATATTATTGTACGTTAAAAAACGATGAGTTCCTCGAACGACGCTTC